TAGGTTCATGTATAGGTATGTGTCAGCTGTGCTAGCTATTGGATATATTTAGACTAATTAAGTTCATTGGCAGAACAATTGAATGGGGGGAGGAAGGCATGGAGGGCAACCATGGATGCCAGGGACAATGGAGGAGGAAGATGGGACATGGCAGAGGGTGGGGGATGGAGAATCAGGGATGGCAAGATAAAGGGCAAGGTATGCAGGATGTAAGAATTGGAAAATTACTTGCTGAGAACATGTATGTTGATGTGCTTGACTGAACCAATGCACAGTGTATTTTGGATGGAAAAAAAAAAATACTACTCTTGGGACCAGCAGTTAGCATTAACGGCTGTGTTGCTGGACTCCCTTGTAGTCGACTGCAGTTCGCGTCCCGGACCCGGTGATTTAAAACTCACGCCGCGCATGTGTGCGTGCGTGCCCAAGATCCCGAGAGGAGAATGGAGGAGAAGGGATTGCGGCGTGGCCATCCCCCCTGGGGGGTGATTTCTTGCTTTCTATCTCTCTGTCTCTGTCTGTCTGGTGAGTGCACGTGCCCTATAGCAAAAACCTCTCAAAAAAAAATACTACTCTTAAAATATTTTAAAGTCACTTACAAAGGATTAGTTATGTAAGATGGTCTCTGTACTTCCCTCTTTCGATTTCTCTTCTTCCTTCTTTAAGCTTTTTCCTTAAAGCATTCCATTTTGTTTGGCCTAGAGACTCCGAAGTATCCAATCTCTCTATCCCAGCCTGACAAATTGCACTACCTCCCCTAGCAAGGCTGATAGGTACCAGTTCCCAAGACAGACACACCAGCTGACATCTATTCCAGGTGGTCAGTCTTTGTAACATCCTGGTTGTTAAATATTCTGATTATCACCCATCTCTTGCCATAAGTGAGATGAACCAACTGAGCTTTTAAGCTTTCTTCAGTCAAGCATTCTTGCTGAACCTTCCTCTTCAGCTCCACATTGGGTTTCCAAAGTTGAAGCTAATCAGAATGTAGGGAACTTTATTATTTTGCCTGCCTAACATCCATTGGCCCTGCTTCTCAGAAGAGCCCTCAGATTTTGTTTGGGGTCATTCCTCCCCATCTCAGTCCATGAGGTCCTAGAAGAGGTGACTCAACCCTTGTTGTGTGTTCCAGACCTGGACACATTGACTCAGGATCATGGGATTCCACCATATTCATTAGATGCCCTGAATTATTTCCTAGGACCACAGCCTTAAAGCAAGTCTTCATCTCCACTGGTCTTGGAGTTGTAAGAATTATGGGACTGGGGCTTCTACAGCCATGTTGTTAAAATGTGGAGTTTGATAAGGGAGTCAGCACAGAAGCAATTAGAACCAGGAGGTGGAGAATGAAAGAAGCCTGGTCTTTATAATATCAGCTATAATCCTGAATTCAGCTATTCCTAAAAGTTCTGCTCCTAGATTTTTTAAAAATTATTAATTATTAAATTATTTTGAAAAGTTGTCTGCATTAATAAATTATGTTTAATCACTGTATATATTTACAGCATAAAAATGGTTTCTCTCAGCATGAATGCAGTACATACCAGTCAAGTCAAAGATATTATCATACACGTTATCATCAATAGGTAACTTTTCATTTTTATGTCTGTTAAATGGTTTTGTTTCTCCCTGATCCCTTCTCTCCCTCTCTTGTTACCCACCACTCTCCTATACTGTCTTGAATATCTACTGTTACCCTTCCTGCTATTATACTTTCCAACGTTTTAGTTTCTGCCATAGAGTACAGACATTTGGTATATATTAAGTGGGGTCATACAATGCCTCTCTTTCATAGTCTGGCTTGCTTCATTTAGCATTAAATCATCCATATTTGTCGACTTTGTATCAAATGTCAGAGTTTCATTTTTTTTATAGCTGAGTAGTATTCCATAGTATATTTGTACCCCAGTTTTTCCAGGCTTCTGTTCTTGGGCACTTAGGTTGTTTCCATGTCTTAGCTACTGCAAATAATCCTGCCGTAAACATGGATGTGCAAGTGTTCTTCTGTTTTCCTATCCTGTGGGTAGATACCCAGGAGTGGAATTGCTGGGTCCCGTGATAGTTCTACTTGTAGGTTTTGAGGAGTATCCTTATTGTTCTCCACAGTGACTGTACTAATTTACATTACCACCAGCATATAGGAGGGTTCCTTTTTTCACCACAGCCTCATCAGTACCTATCATTGTTTATTATTATTATTTTTTAATCTTAGCTATTCTGAATGGTGTTAAGCAATATTTCATGTGATTTTGATTTTGATTTCTCTTATGATAAGTGAGGTTGAACATTTTTTTCATATTTTCTTTTTGGCTGTTTGCATGTCTTCCATGGAGAGTTGTGTGTTCAACTCCTTTGCCCATTTTTAAATTGGATTGTTTATTATTTTGTGAGTAAGCTACCAGTGTTCCCTGTGTATTTGATTATCTGTCTCTATCTGAGGGACAGTTTGAAAATATATCCTCCTGTTCCAAAGATTGTTTCTTCACTCTAATTTTTTTCTTTTACTGTGTAGAAGCTTGTTATACTTTTTTAGTCCCACTTGTCTATTTTTGGGATTGTCGTCTGTACTTTGGGGGATTTATTTAAGAAATCTTTGCCTATCCCAATATGTCCAAGTTTCCCAGTGTTTTCCACCAATAGTTTTATGGCTTAAGGTTTTATGTTTAGATCTTTGAGCCATTTTGAGTCAACTTTTGTTAATGGTGAGAGATCTAGTTTCATTTTTTCTGAAGGTGGATATTCAATTTTTCTAGCACCATTTGCTGAAGAGATTTTCTTTTCCCCACTGGATGGTCTTATGTCCTTTGTCAAAAATTAGTTAGGTATATGTTTTGGGGTTTATTTATGGGTTCTCTATTCTGTTCCGTTGGTCTACATGCTTGTTTTTGTGCCAGTACCATGCTGTTTTGATTATCTCAGCTTTGTAATATATTTTGAGATTAGGACATGAGATGCCTCCATTTTGTACAGTATTGCTTTGGTGATATGGGGCCATGTATGATTCCAGACCAATTTTATGATTTTCTTGTTCTGTTTCTGTGAAGAATATCTTTGGTAATTTGATCAGAATTGCAATGAAATTTTAAATTAATTTGAGTAGAATTAGCATTTTGATTATATTAATTTTTCAATCCAGGAACATGGGATGTCTTTCCACTTTTGTGTATCATGTTTAATTTTACTTTTACTTTTTAAAATAGTTTTCCTTATAGAGCTCTTTCACTTATTTAGTTAAGTTTATTTTAGGTATCCCTTTGTGTGTGTGTGTGTGTGTCTGTGGCAATTGGAAATGGGATTGCTTTCTTTATTTCTACCTCAATCTGTTCATTGTTGATGTATAAAAATGCTGGGGATTTTTGTATGTTTTTATATGCTGCCACTTTACTGTATTCATTTGTCACTTTAGTCTTTTGGGTTTTCTATGTATGTAATTATGTCATCTGCAAACAGAGATAATCTCACTTTTTTTTTTTTTCTGTTTAATGACTTTTATTTTACTCTCTTGTCAGACTATACTGGCTAGGATTTCCAGTACTATATTGAAAAGGAGAGAGAAAAGTGGGCAGCCTTGTCTTGTTTCAGGTTTTTTTTTTTTCTTTGTTTTTTAAAATTTTAGGGATTTTTGCTGTAGGACATGTGTGCTTGGCAGGGAGAGACAGAGAGACAGAAGGAGCGAAATCACCCCCTCTTCCCTCAGTGGTATGGTCATGTTGCAATCTGGTCTCCTCCATTCTCCTCTCAGGATTTTGGGCATACATACACATGTGCCTGGCATGTGTTTTAAGCCATCAGGTCCAGAACTTGAACTGTGGTAATGGAAAAGCTTTCACCTTTTCCCCATTCAATATGATGTGAGCTATGGGTTTGTCATATATGGATTTTATTGTATTGAAAATGCCCTTCTTCGCTGATTTTTCTGAGAGTCTTAATCATAAAAGGATGTTGTATTTTATAAAATGTGTTTTTTTGCATTGATTGATATGATCATGTGGTTTTTATCTTTCCTTCTGTTGATGTGATGAAATACATTTAATGCTTTGTTTATTGATTACTTATATCCCTGGAATAAAGCCTACCTGGTCATGGTGTACAGTCTTTTTAATGTGTTTACTAGTATCTTGTTGAGAATTCTTGCATTTGTATTCATCAGGAATATTGGTCTATGGTTTTCTTTTTTGTCATGTTCTTGTCTGTTTTGGGGATTAGGGTGATGGAACTTCATAGAATGAATTTGGGAAGAAGATTTCTTCCTTTTGGATCTTTTGAAATAGTTTGAGGAGAATTGAGATAAACTCTTTCTTTCTTGGAATGAAAAAATATGAGTTTATTTTGGTGCAAAATTTTGGAGATCCATGCAGATTTTTCTTTTTCTTTTTCTTTTTTTTTTTACGATCATCAATGGCAAAAGGCAGTCGCAGTAAAGCGACACGAAGAGCCGGCTTCACGCTCAGGAGAGAACGCTGCGCCTTCTCCTTGTGGATATTTTTAAAAACATTTTTCCTGAAGATGTTAATATTTTTTTTCCCATCATGAATGCACTATATTAGTTTAGTCAAAGATTTTACCATACCCATTACAGTCAACTGATTTCTTTCCATTTGGGTCTCTTAAATGTTTTACTTCTTTCTTCTTCCTCTTGATTCTGTTTTTTAAATGCTTTGTGGAATTCAGAAATGAAGCCATCGGGATCTGAGCTCTTCAAAGTTGGAAGACTATGTATAACTCATCCAATCTCATTGCTTGCTGTTGATTTATTTAGGCTTTTTATTTCTTCCTGGTTCTTTTTAATTTTAATTTTTTTTATTTGCAGTCATTCACTGTACATCAATACAGTATACAAAATGAGATTTTTCCATCCAGTATACATCATATATTGGTTCAGTCAAGGATATTAGCACATATGTAACTATTTTTTTTTTTTTTTGGAGAGGTTTTTCGCTATAGGGCGCGTGCGCTCGCTGGACAGACAGAGAGAGACAGAGAGATAGAAAGCGAGAAATCACCCCCCAGGGGGGATGGTCACGCCACAATCCCTTCTCCTCCATTCTCCTCTCGGGATCTTGGGCATGCACGCACACGCGCCCGGCGTGAGTTTTAAGCCACTGGGTCCGGGACGCGAACCACGGTTGACTACATGGGAGTCCAGCGACATAGCCATTATGCTAACTGCTGGTTCCCCAGATATGTAACTATTAACAAATAATTTTCTATTTTATATATATATATATATATATAAGTTGTTTTCTGTGCCTTTTTTTTCACATGTTATTGATTCACTAAAATCTTAATCAATTTAAAGACTTTCAATAGCAAGCGCAGGTGATATATATTCATATTTATGAATGCACGTCTGACTTTAGGCATAAACCTCAGTGAGTAAAGTGAAAATGCTATGAAGTAGCACCTTCTGAGGTTATATACCTTACTCCAGTCATTATATAGGTATTAATAGGTATTTTTAATGCATTTTTGAAGTTAAAAAATGTTTTAGTTTTAATAGATCAAAATCAAACAATGTTAAGAGAAATTTGCTTAAAACTTAAAGCCAGGAAAAAGGTTAGGATTCAGTTCAAATAATAGGTAGATGAACCTATCAACAGTTCAAGAGAAGGCAAAAATCCTTAAATATGGAAATCAAAGCATCAAAGAAAATCAGTAATGTTTTAGTCTAAAGTAAAAAAAAATTCTATTTTACTAGTTCAGATTAATCTCTCTTCTGTTGAATTTGCAGTGTTACTCTGGTCTGATCTTTCCATTTAAACTCTGGAAGTTAACATTCGACTCTGGATTTGTCCCTACCGTTAGGTAGGCATTCTCTTGGTTGTTTCTTGTACTCTTATTTCTGTGTATCCGACTTTAGTTTTCCTGATATAGCACTCCCTTCAGAGCTTCTTGAAGAGCTTGTCTGGTGTTGGTAAATTATTTCAAGTTCCGTTTATCTGAGAATGTTTTTGCCTTCTTTTTTTCCCATATGAAAGATAATCTTGCTGGGTATAGTATTCTTGGTTGAAAGTGTTTTTTATTTAACCCTTTGAATATATTTTCCCATTCTTTCCTTGCTTGCATTGTTTCCAATGGGAGGTCTGACGATAGCCTGATGGGATATTTTTTGAAAGTAACTTGATGTTTTTCTCTTGACAATTTTAGTGTCTTATCTCTGCCTGTGGTTTTGGCTAATCTGGGTATGGTGTGCCTTGGGGAAGATCTTGGGATGATTCTATGTGGGGGTTGTTGTATTTCTTGGGTCTGAATATCTGAGTGCCTCTCTAGGTTTGGAAAATTTTCTTCCAGGATTTTATGGAATAGGTTATCAATACCCTGATTAGTGTTTTCACCTTCTGGGATACTGACTTATCTGGATGTTTGAGTGTCTAATGGTATCTAGTGTTACTCGTATGTTATTCTAATTTTTTGGGGTTATTTTCTCAATCCTTCTTGTGTTTTTTTTCTAGGTCAGAGATTCTATCTTCTACAACTGAGATTCGGTCTTCTGTATGATTTAATCTGCTTTTGATATTTTCAATGGAAGTTTTGCTTTCCTGTATTACAGCCTTTATCTCTAACAATTCTGTTTGATTCTTTTTTATGATGTGTATTTCCTTTTTCAGATCATGCAAGAACTTCCTCACCTTCTGGAAAGCAGTGTCTCGTTTTTCCTGCATCTTTTGGAGTTTGTTGTGTCTATTCTTTCGCATATCTGTTAGCTCTGTCACTATGAATATTTCAAATTCTTTATCGGACATTTCCGTGAGATTCCTTGTATTCTTTGTGGAAGAAGATGAGTTATTATTTTGCATTAGAGTAGAGATGTTTTCTTGGTTTCTCATATTTCTTGTGCCTCTGCAGTGGTTTCTGGTCATTTGATCAATTATACTTTTTTCCCCTATTTTTTGGAGTTCAACCTGAGCAATAAGAGGAAGGCAGAAGGAGATGTCCTGCAGTCTGTAAACAGTACCATTTCTCTCCCTTTGCACAGCTGATTCAATGAAAATTAAGGATTAATTTGACCCTAAAATAATCAGATATTTGGCTACTGAGCACCTAGACCTGTGTAGAAAATCAGTGTGTAGAAAATTGAGAAATGTAAAAGAAAAGGAAAGAAAATAGAGAAAACCAAAGAAAAGAAAAAAAAAACCAACTAGACAAGACAATAAGAAAAAGAGAAGAAAAAATTTGACAAAAAATGAAAACTGCATGGTGTGCTAGTGCACCATGCAAATAAGGTCATCCGGAACTCAAATATAGATGGCTGCTGATTGGCTTAGCCTATGGGGACAGGGGAAAGAATTAGAAGGACAAAAGGGCAGCAGAGAACTAAGTTTAAATAAATAAATAAATAAATAAATAAGGGCAAAGGGTCTTCGCTCGTGGAAATCCCTGAATGGAGCTGCTCAGGACTCAAGTATAGATGGCTGCTGATTGGCTTATCCTGGCTCCTGGCTAGAGTGGGCTATTTCTTCCTGGTTCTATCCAGGTAAATTATGTGTTCAGAAAATTTTCCATCTCATCTAGGTTTTGTAGGTGTATAGTTGCTTATAGTATTCTTTCATGATCTTTTGTATTCCTGTACATCTGTTTCATTGCTGGTTTTATTTACCTGGTTCCTTTGTTCTTGACTCCTTTAGCTAATGGTGTGTCAATTTTGTTTATCTTCTCAAAGAACCAGTTTTAAGTTTCACTTATTTCCTGTATATTTTATTTATTCTCTATTTCATTTATTTCTGCTTGAATCTTTATTGTTTCTTTTCTCTTTCTCTCTCTCTTTTTGGTGTATTCTTGTTGCTTTTCCACCTCCTTAAGATGTGTTGTTAGGTTGTCTATTTTGCCACCTTTCTATTTTTTTTTTCTTGTGAGTACTAGTTACTATGAACTTCTCTCATGACTACTTTGTGTGTGTGTGTGTGTGTGTGTGTATGTGAGTGTGTGTAGAGTGTTTAGCTTTAGAATATGTATGCTCACTGGACAGAGAGAGAAAGATAGAGACAGAGAAACTGAGAGGGAAAGTGAAAAATCATTCCTGGGGCCATGGGTCGGGGGGTTGACCATGCCATAATCCCTTCTCCATTCTCCTCATGGGATCGTGCATATGTATGCACCTGTGCGTATGGCCAGACTTTTGAGCCGCCAGGTCTGAGACTGAAACTGTGTTCTTGCTGTCTCTTTCTCTATCACCCCATTTCAGGATTCAGGATCCTTTTAATCTTTTCCTTCTCCATTTTATTAAGGCAGAAAAGAATTGTGATCTATTCATAGTTAAAGTCATCTTTTGACTGAATTATGGCAACAACTCCCAAAACTCGTCTTTCTATCTTCAGTCTTGTTCTTTCTATCTTTTTTTTTTCCACTATAGCTAGAGGAATTTTTCTGTTTTACAGAATGGATCATATCATTCCTGTGTTTAATCTACACCTGCCTCTCCCATAGTATATTACTGTTCTTGGGATGAAGTTCAATTACCTGAAAAGGTCCAAAGACTTTGGGTGTATACTTTCCTTCTTTTATTCTTTATTTCAGCCTAATTAAATGCTTGTCAATAGGTATCTTTAAGACTTTGCATATGTTGTTCTCTTTGCTTTGAAGGCTATGCACCCAAGTTCATTTCCCTTTCATTGATCAGTTCCTCCTTATACTTCAGTTTACAATCACAGAAGAGAAGTTGAGAGTTGTGGGAAAATTACCCAAGTCCAACAACTAGCAGAAGACATTGTTGATTGAATTGCCTGATTTACAATATAACAATATAGAATACCCAGTTAAATTTGAATTTCAGAGAAGTGACTGTCTTAGTCTATCTGTGTTGCTATAACAAAATACCACAACTGGGTAATTTATAAATATTGGAGATTTCTTTCTCATAGTTCTGAATGCTGGGAAGTTCACGATCAAGGAACCAGCAGATTCAATGTCTGATGAGGGCTGCTCTTTTTGCTTCACTATGGGGCCTTGTTGTTGCATCCTCCAGAAAGGAGGGTTGCTGTGTCCTCACATGGAAGATAAATGTGGGTTGGTGGCATGGTGGTTAGGGTGGCTGGATCCTACATTGTCAACTGTGTGGTTTGAGTTCTAGATCCAGTCGATAGAAAAAATTGCTGGCTGGTCGTGTGTGTATACTCTTAAATCCTGAAAGAATGGAGAGATGGAGAAAAAAGGATTGCCTTGTGGCCATACCCCCTGAGAGGTGCTTTCTCACTTACCCTCAACACTGTGTCTGTCTCTGGCATGTACACATTCTCTATAGAAAATTAAAAAAAAAAAATAAAGAAGAGCAGAAGAGCAAGAGGACTGATCTCTGTGGCAAGCCATTTTTTTTTTTTCTAAAGGCCTTAATCTCATTCATGAGGGAGGAGCCCTCAGGATCTAATCAACACCTCCTAGAAGGTCTCATTATTTTTTTTTTTAAATAAGTTTGCCAGAAGGCATTCATGCTTACTGGAGAGGGGAGAGAGAGAGAGAGAGAGAGAGAGAGAGAGAGAGAGATAAGAAAACATCCCATCCTTCATGATAGGGCATGATCACACCACAGTCCCTTCTCCGTTTATTTCTCCTTCTGAGAGTT